TTTACAGGATTGGGGAGGTGATCGATGAAGATGTTCTTCATGCAAGAGTTCCTTTTATCGCCCGCACTCAGCAATGTTTTGCAGTTAAGGCTGGAATTGATGGATTGTTGGATATTGCAAGAAGGACATTTTGTGACACTAGTGAAGGTATTCACCCTGCTTATACAGTAAACTTTTTAGTTAATATCTTTGTTGTATCTTATTATGAGTTGAACGTGAATTATGAAAAATCGCCATCATTCCAGCTATACATAAGCTTGCTAACAAATATCGTGAGGAGTACAAGCTGCCCAATTTAAAACTTCCGTTTAACAATAGGCAAGGGTTTTACTTGAGCATTCCTCGGAAAGATGTACAAGGAAAGCTGCCTAGCAAGTTTATTCAGGTTATGCACCATACTTTCTTGTAAAATGTCTTTACCTTTATTTGAGTCTCACTTTCTTACCATAAAAATTAGGTCTTGAAACATGGAAACAATATACGATGCTCTACACTGGAACTTGCATCTGTGAGTACTTCTATTAATTGTACAGTTGTACTATCGATCGATGATCAGATAGCCTGCCATTAATTGGAGATAATTATACATTTATATTAGTTTTGAAGTTACTTGTATATCTCAATGCACTATAACATCCGTGTACCTGCAAATAATGGTCATAATATTCTTTTATTACATTTGGTTTTCCTGCCAATTGACGACCTCTTCAATTAAAAGATCATCTGGTTTATACTTGCTTTAAGTTTGTGAATTGAGCATGAGAAACTACAATGAATAGCTTAGTTGAATTTGCAAACTCTCTGTATCCGATACCCTTGATTATACTCAAATAGTTAGAATGCTATCATTCTCACAATCCTGGAACGTCTCAGAAATGATATAACCTACTGGGGTCACTCGTTGAACTATAATGCTAAAGATTTCATGTCATCAAGATGATGCATGGATTGTAGTTCCACAACATTCTTTAAGCAGATTGGAGAGAGTGCAACTTGAAAACGATTGTGTATACCTCCACTTTATTTTCTTCTGAAACCTTTGATTCACATTTTTGTGTGCTTTGCCAATTAAGCTGTAGAATACAACAAAACTCATATGAGTTTTTGTCCCATTTGCAGCTGAATGTTAGAAACAAGTCTGCAGCAGGAGAATGCTACATACGAACACAACTTTGCCTGGAAGGTCAATTTACATGCTTCTTTATATAGTAAATCTTCAATCATGAACTACAAACGTTTTAACCTATATTTCTGAATTTGTAGTTCACTGAGGAATGACAAATTATATTGAATTGAGGAAAATAATGTTATCCTCCTAGCTCCTAGGGCCCTCCACCCCACTAATTAATTTAGTCATAAATTCCCTTCATTTTTTTCAAGTCTCGCACTCGGTCTCAAGAAGAAAGAATATCCAAATTTAAGTAATTTTGTATCTCTTTCTTTTGAAAGGGGTCCTAACGTCACCCCCACTCAAAGGGAAGAAAAAACACACAGTTTCCTAGTGCCAACTTGTAATGATTGAAGTTTGTAACTATTTAATATGCAGGACTTGTAGAAGCCATAAGAGAGGACGTCTCTATCCTTACACTGCTTGCAGAAGTCTTGTGCCTCTTGGATATGATTGTTAATTCATTTGCACATACAATATCTTCAAAGCCTGTTGATCGATATACTAGGCCAAGTTTTACAGGTAAGCCCATGCGTTCTCCTGCTCTTTCATTCGGTTGGGTTTTTCTAAATGTAACGACAAACCTGGCGGTGGCAATGATTGATTTTCCTTGTTTCAAATAGATAACGGACCGATGGCTATTGAAGCTGCAAGACACCCAATCCTAGAAAGTATACATAATGATTTTGTTGTACGTATATCTTCATTGACAACTTGCTGATACAATGTAGGATTATTCTGCATGTAGACACTTTTTCTAGTTTTTGATATCAGTTCTTCGACGTTCATCATTTGATGGAAATATAAGTTTCTTCCTTGCAGGCTAACAGTATATTTCTATCGGAAGCATCAAACATGATAATTGTCATGGGTCCAAATATGTAAGAACCCACCCCATGACGTGATTTAAGATTTCCTGCATAAAAAACTACTTCTTTTTTCCTGTTTTATCTTTGAATGGCTATTGGCTAACATCCCTAAAATAAAGTGATCTAGAAAAGAGAGGAAACAAATTGCTAGTGCGTTTAATCAGTAACTCAGAAGGGGGAAATATATCCATTGGTACTCAAAGGAGAATGACCTGAATTTGGATAATGGCAAAACAACTTTGATATCATTTGAACATCTCTTACACAGTCAAGCAAGGGGAAACTCTATTATTTCCTCCAGTTAATATTCATGCTGCTATTATACAACTTTAAGTTTTTAGATAACTTGCATTAAACGTTTTTTTTAACATGAACTGTAGTTCTCTCTCTCTCTCTCCCTCGAATTTGTGCATTGAAATTTAAAGAGCACAAGTAGACTATGAATAATCATTGTCGTCGCTGTCGCTCATGCTTAAGTTCGAAAATGTCATTTCTTGCAGGAGTGGAAAGAGTACCTACCTTCAACAAATGTGTCTTCTAGTTATTCTTGCTCAGATTGGGTGCTATGTTCCAGCACATTTCTCAACTTTGAGAGTTGTTGATCGCATCTTCACAAGAATGGGCACAGAAGATAGTCTAGAGTCCAACTCCAGCACAGTACTGTTTTCCTCCCTAATTTATTTTCTTTAACTGATAATCCATAGTTTGAACTTCAAAGAAAGTTGTCACTGAGATATTTATGGGGTTGCAGTTCATGACAGAGATGAAGGAAACAGCTTTTGTGATGCAGAATGTCTCCCATAGGTAAATTAATCTCCTGTGAACTTGAAGGCTCTCGAAATGCTCCACAATGTATTGAAGTGAAATGTTTTGTTCACTCGGATGTAGGAGTCTCGTTGTCGTGGATGAACTCGGGAGAGCAACGTCGTCGTCCGATGGGTTCGCAATTGCCTGGAGCTGCTGCGAATACCTTTTATCACTAAAAGCGTAAGTCAGCTTTATCTGTTCTCATACTTGGTGAACTTCAACAAATTTACTAACCATCTTCCTTTCTCTTCCTCAGCTATACCATATTTGCAACTCATATGGAGGGCCTTTCAGAACTAGCAACCATCTATCCAAACGTTAAAATTCTTCACTTCCACGTGGATATAAGGAATAACCGTATGAATTTCAAGGTAACATTCTGCAATTCTGTAACTCTATTTTTACCGTCGTTTGTGTGACTGAATGTTGGAAATTGGAATTGTCGACCAGTTTCAACTGAAGGATGGAATAAGACATGTTGCACACTATGGCCTTTTATTAGCAGAAGTGGCAGGATTGCCAAACTCGGTCATTGACACAGCAAGAGAAATTACTTCCAGGATCATGGAAAAGGTAAGTCAGCTTTAGATTCAGTTCTTGTGTAATAATGACCCAAAGTTTACCAATTCATCAACATATTTCTTTTTCCCTACTCGTATAAGAAATTGTATCAACCTCAAAGAAGTTCGAGAACAAGATATGTTTTCCAAATGGTGTCTTCTTTATTACTTTTTTTTATCTCAAATTCCGAAATGGTTTTACATCAAATCTGATTTAGTTTCAATCCCAAGTGTTATTGGACAAAATCAATAGTATTTAAAAAATTTTGATTTTGATTCCCATTTTGTGTCATTCCTGAAGCTTAATGGCATTCATCTTGAGCTGTGATATTTCAAATATTCAGGAAGAAAGACGGATGGAGATAAACTACCTGCAGTATCATCCAATCAGAATGGCTTATAATATAGCTCAGCGGCTCATATGTTTGAAATACTCCAACAACCACGATGAAGATTCCATACGAGAAGCATTGCAAAATCTCAAGGAGGGCTACATTAGTGGGAGGCTATGATTCATTCCAGGTAACCTCTCTGTATTTCTACTACCAAATAAAATACCATAAAACGGTTTAAGATTCTATGCCTTTAGCCAGAAGTAACACCACACTTTCCCAATTAATTAAGTTTTGCCACTACGAGAAAAAAGGAGCTGCTTATCCATTTCTGAGGATGATAAATTCGCAGATTTTTTAAAAATAGTTCAAAATAGAAAATTATTGCATAAATAGAAAATACTATATAATTTTGTTAAATAATAAATTTATTAGTTTATTATATAAACAATAGGTATAACCAGTGTTTCAAATTTCAACGTCGATGTGGAGGAAACTGTCATTTTTCCCCCAATGTTGAGAAAATGTCTTTTTTTTTACATATAATCTATAAATTGATTTTTTTAATATTTTGAAAAAATATGCTCAAATGAATATTTCAATTAAATCAATTGAAAATATATGTAAGTACAATTTGTTTGGATGAGATAATGATTCTTTTTCCTATTTGAAATTGACTTTTTCTTTTTTTTACCCATTATTATTGCAACAACATTTTTATAAGAGCATCTTGTTGATATATTTAGATATGATGGCCAAAATTGAACAATTATAGATTAGATTAAGCTACATTTAAAATCTTATTTACTAATTCTAAAAAATTACATCAATATCCACTCCCATAATTTCCATATTTTTTCATATTTTTTTGACATATTCCTAAAATCAAGACCTCAACATTTCAAACATTGGATATAATATTCATTGATCTATCTTTAAAGTATGCTTTTAATATTAAATCCCAAAGTATATAACAAGATTCCCCATTCAACATGAAATTTTCAAATTAAGATGCAGTTGAATTTCTCATACTAAAATTTAGATTACTTTATCCTCAGAAATCTCCAAGACTGCAAGTTTAATAAAATTTTAACCAAACGTAATCATGCACATAACAATTATATATTGATAACAGGCCGCAGCCCACGTTAATAAGTTGGTATTTCTAAGCTTAAATAATCAAACACAACTATTCTTGGACATCTAATTTTAAAGATCCAACAAAAATCTCAACCAAACAAAATAATTATGACATAAAAACAGAGACTGCAAATAAACAAAAATTATCACTCGGTTTAGAAAATCCTGACAATTCTCAAGGTAAAATATGAGGTTTAGAAAATCCTGACAATTCTCAAGGTAAAATATGAAGTTCAAAAAACTCTAGAGGGTAGTAGTATCTTGCACTAAATTCTCCAAACAGAATGCAGATAATAATGATACCAAAACAGGGAGAAACATCACCCAAATCAACGGTAACGACGAAGGGAGAGAGTGTTGTTCCTCTTCCAGGTAGCCCTGCGAGAAGGCCTGGCCTTGTGGTGCAAGTGTCCCTTTCCACGCAGTCCCCTGTATTTCTTGCCAGCGGATGTAAGCCCCCTGAGCTCCCTATGCTTGTGGACTGGATTGCAGATCCAGTTGATTCTCGGGTCATTGCGAACAGCATTATGTGCAACATCGACCAAGATCACCTCATAGTACTTGTAAGTTGAATCCTGTTTCAATTTCAAGAAGTCAGAGAGACAGGATAGATATGCAAGGATATTAAATCAATTCTAAAGATGGAGCAATCGGGTACTCCTCAACTATGGTTAACTAGAGAAAGTAGAAATCGAAGACCTCGTTGATCCAGTATGAGTTGAGGACCCGCAGACCACCCAACTTTCTTCCGGCTCGTTCTTCAGCAACTGATCTCTTGCTACGCTGGAACTTCAACTGGGTAACACCCTGGTTTGTTGGCTTTCCATACACGATACCCTTGGGAACAGGCCTCTTCCTGCCACCACGTCTAACACGGACTCTGTAAACCACGTAACCCTGCACAACCAATCCCTCAAGTTATCCTCCTACAGCACAAGGCTGAAAATCAAATGATGTCCACCATACAAAAGAAACTGAAAGATGCTACTTGAATCAAGAATTTCAATCCGTAGCAATCAAACAGTACAATACTAAAAACTAAACATTTGAAAACCAATCAAAATATTACAAATAGGGGAGAAGAAAACCATCAAAGGTAGCCAAAGACACACCAAGAAAATACAATGGAACTCTACGGAAATATCCAATCATTATACGCAAAATCCACAAAGAGTGAAGTAAGCGCATCAGCATACCGCTAAACCAGCGCCTAACAAACTTAATGCTACTCGCCAGTGTAATGCAACAGAAACAGTAACCAAACTTAAACAACACCAAAGAGTACGAGAAAATTGAAAAATCAAACTTAAACCAGAAAGATTTGTATAAATCTCAGAATAGTATAAGATTTGTTACCTGCTTGGCCTTGTAACCGAGCCGACGAGCCTTATCGGGGCGAGTGGGATGGGTGACGCGAACAATGGATGGATGTTGGCGATACTCCCAGCATCTCACCCTCTGTAAGAACCTCATCACATCGGATTGCTTCTTCCTCCATAGCTCCGACACGTACTTGTACGCCCCTGTTTTCGGAAACATATGAAACACACATTCATCAGAAAAATGAAGAACGCTTATGATTTCATCAAAGAAAATACGTACAACAATCTAAACTTCTCCATAAACAAAAAAGTAAAAGATACTTCAAACTCTATGAACGGGAGAGAAGACAGACAGAGGAAAATCGATTCGGAAACGTGAAACGAAAAAAGAGAAGCGTTTGAGTGTGATGAAGGAAACCTAGAGAGAGAGAGAGAGAGAGAGAGAGAGTACCCATTGGATCGGAAAGAGAAGTTGCAGGGAGGAGTCACCAACTAGGGTTTTTTCTCGGAGAACCCTAGTTTATATAGAGACCGATTTATCGCTTATTGTGGATCTGGACCGTCCATTACGCTCTTTTAACGACGCCGTTTTATCCATCACTCGCATGGCACGTATCTTGGGCCAAGTCTTTCGATCTAATTGGGCTTCGCTTTATATATGAGCCCAGCCCACATTGCTCGCCGTATTCAGCCATCCTTTTGTTCATGCAGCCCAGACGTCAAAGCTTGTTTTTCTAAAATATTTGTAAATATGTATTTTTATTTTAGAATTATGAATTATAACTTTATTTTATTTATGTTTAAATACTATTTTGGTCTCCGTAGTTTTTAAAATGTTCATTTTGGTCTCTGTACTTTCAACTTTCTTTTATTTTAGTCTATGTATTTTTGAAGTGTTTATTTTGGTCCTGGTACTTTTAAAAAACTATCGTTTTAATCTATTCAATCTTGTTTTTATCTTATTTATTTCTATCATAATTTTAGTCAGGACAGATTTATTATAGGCCTACGGACTCAAGCCCATCTAAACTTCATAAGTTATATAATTAATGGGTAAAAATCTATTATAAGTAAACAAAATATACCTTGGCACATTGGTGACCGTGCTCCCAAGCCCCCCTATGTGTTGCTAGCAATTTCAATACTAATATTTTTTTTTCCAATTTATACATTGTGGTTACACATAGATAATTTTTTTTATTGGTTATAATTATCAGCATATCCTGATCTAAAGAACTAGAATTCTAGATTATGATTGTAATGTATCAAAACTTGTAGAGGACAATATATATGTATTAAACTATAGTTCATTTCATTTATGATTTTTTGGAATTACTTACTTGCTAAATTAGTATAAACCCCCTCTTTAACAAAATTTATGTATCCGCCACTAATTTTAGCATAACATTTTTTTATAAACGCGAAGGTTGTTTGGGTTTACAAAGCTAGAGGATCCTTGCAAACATTCACAAAAACAATTAACTTACCGAATGATTCCAACAAAGAGTAGGGTTAGAAAGATGAATCACTCTTAGATCAAACCTAAAATCTAAGATGATCACTCCTAGATCCTAAGACGACTCACTTCAGAATTAGTTTGATCGGGACTAATCCAATGAATCGGCTTAACATTAAACCTAAAGCAAGATTTGAAAAAAAAAACAACACCAAATGTGTTAAGGAACAAAAGTTCTCGATTTCATTTGTTAAATCTCTAAATCTGAATAATCTCATATCAAGAGATTCATAACAAGCCTTTAAAAAGGCCAATGGACGTTCAGAGACCAAAAGTCTTCCAAAATGTATTAAATACAAATTGAAGAAAATAAGAGATGAAAATTAGAACTTAATTGCACATCGATCTAGAAGCCTAATTGCAGATCAAAAAATATATGCATGTTTTGACTTCACAAACTCCCAAAAGGTGCAATATGCAAAGGCACATGTTCACAATTTGCACACTTTTTTCGTCGACCGTGTCATCTCTCAAAATAGACAACTTTTCTCATGACATTGTTACTCCATAATCTTCTTGACTCATTGAAGTAACATTGTAAATAATTTTGGACTCAAAACTCTTTGTTGATTCTTGTGCATTACCTAGCTTTTGAATATGTAGTGTGAAAGTCTCTTAAATCTTTCTTGCCTTTCTTCTAGTAATTGCTCATTTTATACATGTAATTAGTCACAAATGGATTTGTATCATCCCTCCTTTCTTTAAAAGGATTTGTCCTCGAATCAAGGTCTTCATTTCCTACATCAAAACAAATTAAGTTAATCCAACAATAAGCCCTTACCTTGTGGGTGTTTTATGATTTTCTTCCATGGACATGTCACATCTTTCTTATGGAAAATTGTTATTGCATTTCCGTCTTTTAGCTCTTAAGTCTGCACAACTTGTTGAATTCTTTGAAGTGCAACGTTGAAGTCGTTATGTAATATTGATCTTTTTGGTTTTCTTTGGTTTGGACTTGGACAAACTCTTCATTCTTTTCAAAAGTGCTTCCAAACTCAATTACTTGGTTTGTTGACATAGTTATGAGATTTCTTTTTTCTCCACTTGGTTGCTTGCATTTTAATTTTCCAACATAACATTTCGTGTTCTCGGCCATGAATTGTTAAGAAGATTTATTCAACAAGTAGTTTTCCCTAATCTCTTTTGCCTCAGGTTTCGCTTGCCTATGGTTACCTACACAACAAGGGAACAAGTTAATATCTTTAGAATCAAGATCTATTGGATACTTACCTTGTAATAAAATATTAAGATCAAGGGAAGATGATAGGATAACTCTTGTTGGCTCCATCATAGCTCCTTTGTTACTTGTATTCGACCACACTTGAATTGAAGAGTTGAAACTTCCTGCAAAAATCTTAAAAAAGTACAAGCACTAGGATAAAATACATTAGCTTGAAAGTAAGGGTCCTTATGCAACAATGCTATAAAATTTGGCTTATATGGACCTCGTACTTTTCCTCTTCTTTTTCCTTTGCATTTTGTTTGGGGGTAAAAATACCTTGGACACGTGGAGGACGCTTATTGGTGTTGAAGGATTAAAATATCCCAGGTCCACCTCGAACCTGCCGAGGAGGTCGGATTCGCCCATTGGAAAAAGGCTAAGTATACATGCCGAAGTTCGACCTGATTGGGGTTCGATCTGCTCGGAATCCGACAGATCCGACATGAGGAAAAAAACATGTAACCGCCGGTCGTGAGTACTGTCGGATCCACCACCTATAAATAGAGGGCCTCATTTCACGCTCAGATATCGAATCTCACATTGAGCTAAATACTGAGTCCGACCTATACTGACTTGAGCGTCAAAGTGTTTACCCTCTTGTGCAAGTCCACTCTTGAGTTCAGGTCGAGTCGGGGACCGGGTTCGAGCTTGATTCGTAAAACAGTGTTGTGCAGACCTTTGCATGCGTTTCTTTCTCTTAACTCTTCTCCTCTTTCTCTATTTTCTTTCAACTCACTTTCATCAACATCAGAATCTATGCTATCTTCTTCAATAAATTCATCGTCACATGCTTTAGATTCTTCCTCAAATTGTGTATCATGTTTCTCACAAAATCATTTGACTCAAGTATGTCATTTCTTATCACCATGACTCTTTTGTGTCATTTATTGACACATTCTTTGCTCATGTGTCCAAACTCCTTGCACTTCCAACATTGAACATAATTAGTCTTCTCCTTTACCTCCTTTGAAGCTCCATTCTTTTTATTATTAGAGCTCTCGGTCTCAACTCTTGTGGCAGAACCAAACTTCCCTTTTGGTTGCATGAATTCATTCCTATTTACAAAAACAACCTTGTTCCATATATTAGAATTCGAATATGTATTAGTTTTAGATGTATACCTTTTGGAATGCTCCTTTTATTTTCTTAATTGATCATCAATATTGATAGCATAGTAATACATATCTTCCAAGTAAGGTGGTGGATTTGTATTGACCAGATGAGCAATTTCCAGATTCAAACCTCCAAGAAATCTAGACATGGTGTCTTCATCTTCTTCTCGAATTTGTGCTTTTTCCATTAAAGTATCCATCTCTTAATAATACTCAGCAACACTTTTTGTTCCTTGCCTTAAAACTTGCAATTTAGTTTGCAAATCTTTTTTATAATGTTTTGGAGCATACCACTTTCTCATGACTTCTTTGAGTTCTTTCCAAAGTTTCTAATGGATCCTCCTCGGACAAGTCTCATCTTCTTATTATCACTATATGTATAGCAATCAAACACATGTTCTATATTCCTTTCCTGTTGCAAGTAAGCCTTCAGGTCTGCTATTTCACTAAAGGGTGGAATTTTGAGTTTAACTCTAACATATCTATTTTCATTTACTCAATCTTCTAGGTTGCATAATGTTGGCAAAATTATTTCGTCATCTTCCTTTAGCATTTCCTTTCTCTCCAACTTGTCTTTCTTGTTCAGCTAAGTCAAACATGTTGTCATCTTCTTGTAAGACCCGTTCTTCTCTTTGTTATTGCGCTCTCCTTTCTTGCATCTTCCATCATCATTTTCATTATACCTAGAATTGCTTGAGGAATAACCATATTATGATTTTCATTTTTTTAATGCATAAAATATTTTAATGCATTCATCCCCACATGAAGAAATAAATCTCTGGATATGTTACGTTTAATTTTTTTCATTTTTAATTCAATAAAATGGAATTTTCAAATAAGTTCATGACATATTTTTTAATATATGTAAATTAATTAATCATATTTTATTATTCGATATTTATACTTATATAAAAAAAAGTTGGGTAATAAAATATGTTGTATTTACATTTTTAGTTTTTTTTATATGACTTTTTAAGTATTGTGAAGTATCTACTTTTTAAATTTTTGTTTTTATTTTAAAGAAAGTTACAAATAAAAAACAACATATAAAAATAGGTAACAAATAAAATATAATTAAAAATAATTATTAAATTATTTGAAAATAAAATTACAAACAAAATGAAGATAACAAAATAAAATAACAAACATTCTTTCTTATTTTAGAAATCTACAAATGACAATAGAGAATAAGATATAAACTACTAAAATACAAATTTTATTGGTTTGAAGAGAGAGAAAAAATGAAATAATAGTTACATTAATAAAAAAAAGTAAAAAATATCAAATGTAAACTTACCGTAACTTATTGGTTAAGATAATATATACTCCATCAAAAAGTCATAAATTTGAATGTTTGTTGTACTAAAATTGTTGGAAAGTCTTGCTTTTGTCGTGTTTGTGTATTTGGAACAACAGACACACTTTGTAATAGTTTTGTCAATTTTATTCATAGTAGCCTTTTGAATAAATAAAGATGTTGTTTTCAATAATAAAAAAAAATAATTAAGATATAAAAAAAAGAAAAAACAAATGAAAGAGGAAAAAAAGGTAACAAAATGAAGAAAGAAAAATTATCAAATAAAAGTTAAATGAGAGAAATGAAACATGTAAATAAGAAATAAATAAAAAAAGAAAGTAAATAATCATATAAGAGTAATAAATAGGAGAGAGAATGCACCCTCGGGTGTTCGAA